CCGGAGCCCAGCAGGTCGAGGCTGCGGTGGCTGGGAGCGGCCACTGCACTCCAGTCTGGGCGACAGAATGAGACCCCAACTCAAAAAAAAAAAAAAAAAAAAGAAAATATAGCAAAGAGATATGAAATATAATGTCAGGTACTAATAGATGCTATGAAGAAAAATAAAGTATGAAATAGAGATAAGAGTTACAGAGAGGTACCTTTTTTCCCTTCCTTCCTTCCTTCCTTTATTTATTTATTCCTTTCTTTCCTTCCTTCCTTTTCTTTCTTTCTTTTTTCTTTTTTAAGAGTAAGAATCTCACTCTGTTGCCCAGGCTGGAGTAGGGATGATCTCAGCCACCACAGCCTTGACCTGCTAGGTTCAGGCGATTCTTCCACCTCAGCCTTCCAGGGGACTATAAGTGTGTGCCACCATACCTGGCTAATTTTTTGACTTATTGTAGAGACAAAGTCTTACCATGTTTGCCCAGACTGGTTTTGAACTTCTGTGCTCAGGCCATCCACTCGCCTCCACCTCCCAAAGTGCCGAGACTACAGACATGAGCCACCATGCCCAGCAGGGTGCCATTTTAGTATCTGGGAAGGCCTTCTTCGGAGGTAGTTGTTTGAGCAAAGACCTGAATTAAATGATAGAGTAGGCATTTCAAGCAGAGGGAACATCAAGTGCAAAAACTCTAAAGTTGAGTGTATGTGTCTGTTATTTTGTGGTTTATTATTTATTTATTTAGTTAGTTTTTTTTGAGTTGGAGTCTCACTCTGTCACCCAGGCTGGAGTGCAGTGCAAGCTCACGGCCACCGCAGCCTTGACCTGCTGGGCTCAGGCGATCCTTCTGCCTTCCAAGTAGCTGGAACTACAGGCGCGTGCTGTCACACCCAGCTAATTTTTTGATTTATTGTAGAGACGTGGTCTCACCATGTTACCCAGGCTGATCTTGAGCCCGCGGGCTCAGGCAATCCTCTTGCCTCGGCCTCCCAAAGTGCTGGGATTACAGGCTGAGCCATCAAGCCCAGCCTTATTTTTTATTTTTTTGAGTTGGAGTCTTACTCTGTTGCCCAGGCTGGAGTGTAGTGGCAAGCTCACAGTCACTGTAGCCTCAATCTGCTGGGATCACTGTAGCCTCAATCTGCCAGGCTCAGGCGATCCTTCTGCCTCAGCCTTCCAAGTAGCTGGAACTATAGTCACATGCCACCATGCCTGGCTAATTTTTTGATTTATTGTAGAGATGAGGTCTCACTAAGTTGCCCAGGCTGGTCTCTAACCCCCAGACTAAGGCAATCCTCTCGCCTCAGCCTCCCAAAGTGCTGGGATCACAGGTTTGAGCCACCGCACCTGGCCTGTTACTTTGTGTTTTAATTGGTGCATTTAGACTTTGATATTCAAAATGATCATTTAGGCCAAGTGGGGTAGCTCCCGCCTATAATCCCAGCACTTTGGGAGGTAGAGGCAAGAGGATGGCTTGAACCCAAGAGTTCAAGACCAGCCCGGGCAACTTGACAAGATCTCGCCTCTACAATAAATCAAAAAATTAACTGGGCATGGTGGTATGCACCTGTGGTTCCAACTTACCTGGAAGGCTGAGGTGGAAGGATCACCTGAGCCCAGCAGGTCGAGGCTGTGGTGGCGGTGAGGGTGCCACTGCACTCCAACCTGAGTGACAGAGTGAGACTTTCAAAAAAAACAAAACACACACACGTACACACACACACACTCTCTCACAAGTTTTAGCTAGGCGTGATGGCTCACCTAAAATCTCAGCACTTTGGGAGGTAGAGACAAGAAGATTGCCTGAGCCTACAGGTTCAAGACCAACCTGGGCAATTTAGTGAGACCTTGTCTCTAAAATAAATAAAAGAAATTAGCCAGGCTTGATGGCACACATCTGTAATCCCAGCTACTTGGGAGACTGAGGTAGAAGGATCACCTGAGCCCAGCAGGTCAAGACTGTGGTGGCTGGGAGCATACCACTGCACTCCAGCCTGGGTAACAGAGTGAGACTCCAACTCAAAAAAATAAAATTAATACACACAAAAAAAATGATTCAATACTGGTCATAATATACCTTTCTATTGTGTTAGAATTAGAGACAAGTTCTATTTAGAAATAATTCCAAGAGCAGTTTTTATATTTTATTTTCACGTTGAAAACCAGTCAGATTTGCTTCAGTCTCAAAGAGCATGTTTATGTAAAATTAAATGAACATGGCAGCCTGCTGTACTTCTTTTTTCTAAATGGGTTAAAAGAAGAGGTCCAAAGACTGAGCCTCAGAGCACCCTAGTTTTTTTTTGTTTTTGTTTTTGAACTGAGGTCTCATTCTGTCATCCACAGTGGAATACTGGAGTGCAGTGGCATGATCATGACAATCACAGCTCATGACAGCCTCAACTTCCTGGGCTTAGGTGATCCTTTTGCCTCAGCCTTTTGAGTAGCTGTGACTACAGGCACATGCCACCACATCTGGCAATTTTTAAAAATTTTTATTTTTGTAGAGATAAGGTTTCACAGTGTTGGCCATGCTGGTCTAGAACTCCTGGAATCAAGCAGTCCCTCCCGCTTCGGCCTCCCAAAGTGCTGGGATTACAGATGTGAGCCACTATGTCCAGCCCACTCCAGCTTTTAAACATTAGGAAGAGGATCCAGTAGTATAAAGTGAAAAGAAGCAACCAGTGCTATTGGAAAAAATAATGAAGAGTGTGGCATTCTGGAAAGCAAATGAACAAAATGTTTCAAGAAGGAGCATATGATAACTTTGCCTTCTGGGAGGCTGGGTAAGGTGTCTGGAAACCATCTATTAGATTTGACAACATGAAGGACATCGGGGACCTGGGTAAGAGTGGCATCAGTAGAGCAATTGGGCTGAATGAAGGCCTGATTGAGATGAATTCAAGAGAGAACGCAAGACAGGGCAGTGGAGAAAGTAAAATGTAAAACCTTTTTAGAGGAATTTTGCCTTAAGGGATTAGAGAAATGGCTAATAACTAACTGGGATAGCTGGATAGGGATGTTCAGTAAAAGGAGGATTTTTTTCCTTTTAAGATGGGAGATATTTTAGCATGTTTGTTTGCTGATGAGAATAAACCAAAGAGTGGGAAGTCGATGTAGGGAAAAAATGAGAGAATAGAAAGCGTAAGGTTTTAGAGTAGTGACGTGGGAAGGCATCCAGGGCACCACCGAAGGGGTTAGCTTTGGAGAAAGGAGCACAGTATTCCCTGATGCGCAGGAGGCCAGAGTACGTGAGTGTGGATTTAGGTGGACAGTTAGATTTGGTGTTGGAACAGGTGGAATTTCTCTTGATTGCTTCTTTTTTTCTCCCCTACTCCCGTGAAATAGAAAATAAGTGATTTCAGCAGGGCACTGGAACATGCACCTGTAGTCCCTGCCACTTAGAGGCTGAGGCAGGAGGATCCCTTAGGCCCAGGAGTTTGAGTCCAGCGTGGCAACATAGCAAAACCTCATTCTAAAAAAAATAAAATAAAGAGAGAAAAGAAGAAGAAAATAAGTAATGTCTCCTAATTCTCCCTCTTTTCCTTTATAACAGATCCCTGATTTTGTTGGGAAGAGGGTACCCAGCTTCTGTTCCAACTACACTCAGGGTGTCTCTGTGACTAAATTCTGGTGAGTTGTTAGTGGAAGCTGTTTGGTGGGGGTTCTGAAAAAGTTTCTAAAGCCAATTGACTGAGCTGGCCTATGTGTTTGGCTTTTTTTTTTTTTTTTTGCCTAGAACATTTACAGGGAAGCTGGAGTTCTAGCAACCATCTTATGACAACAAAGCAGCCTTAAAGCCATATGCCAAGGATGGAGGAAGATAGAGTCCGGGTCCCTGAAGACATCATGGAGTTGACTCACAAACCCTGGATTCCCTACCTCTGGACTTCTCATTATGGGAGAAAGTAAAACAATTTGTTTAAACTACACTGCTCTTTTTTCTTTTTTGAGTGTATGTTTGTATTTGTTATTTGCAGCTGATTGTAATTCATAACCAATGTGGTAGTGAGACCTTGTCTTCTGATTTTTCTTTCTTTTTTTCAGTGGAATGGGGAGGAGAGGCCATTAGCTACCTGTAAAGATTCAGGAAGAAGTATGAGATGTTTGTGGAGAGAAAATGTGTGAAATAGTTATCTCTGAGTGGTAGAGTGAATTGACTAGGAGGAGGTAGTACATCATTCAGACATTTGTGGTTATAAATATAAATTGAAATCAGTCATCTTGGTTATGCTTGGTTCAGCTGCTCAGGTGAAGGTATGAAATAGATAGCGAATTGGATTTAACCAGGATTGGTGCTTTGCTAAAGCTATTATGTTACCATTTGTGAAACAGCAAATAACAAGGTAGTCTAGAGTCAGCACCTTGATCTTGGACCTTCTAGCTCCCAGAAGTATGAAAAATAAATGTCTGTTGTTTAAGGTACCTACTTTATAGTATTTTCTTATAGCAACCCAAATAGACTGATACACCCTTCCAAAAAGAAATAAGCGTTCAGCCAACAGGCAGAAAGTGGTGAATCCAAGGCAGGGGCCTGAAGATTGAGCTGTTTGTGGATGCTTGAGATAAGATCCAGCATTCCCATATCTTACTCCACTGGGCCTTGACCCTAGTGGTTGAAGTGAGGGTAGAATAACTGATTGAGAAGATTCTCTAAGCAGAGAAATCTTGTGTTTCACTTTCCAGAGTATAGCCTGGGGGACTGACTGTCAGACTCTTAAAGAAGCCCAACATCTAACATAGTACCTGAGTGATAGAATAGCATGAGGCATTGTTGAAGGAGATGCCTAGGCAGATGGACCTAAAAGCAAACTTACAGATTTCTTTCCCATACACCATGGTGGACAAAGTAGGTAAGAGCTTCCAAGTGCCCAGGGGGATGTGGAAATTCCCAGAAGGCTGGCAAAAGAGATTTAGAGTTGGGTAAGAAGGACTCAGACTGGAGTCCAAGGTAGGAACATTAGCTCTCAGCATGTGAGGTCCAAAGACAGGTGGACATAAACTACAACTCAGAGGCCAGCAAGGACAGAATACAGTACAGGGATCAGATTCCTCCAATGCCAAAATAATACCCAAGCCCCTGGGAACTTAGATCAACTTAGGATAAAAGGAGAAGGTAGAAGAGTTTAAGTCTGATTTTGACTAAATATTTACTCAAATGAAACTTAAAAAAAAATTTTTTTTAAAGACTTGGAGTACAATTCAGGGTTAGGTATACAAATGGCAATTATGCAGGTACTCTTGTTGACGATGAGGTGTGCCTCCCCCTCCTTCCCCTGTCAAATGAGACTTTTAAACAAGTGACTGCTTTACCTTGAAGTAGCAGATTTAGGTTTTCTGCCCATGTTAGAAATTGTGAGATGATGAATTCCAGTTACAGAGGAGGAAAATCCAAAGGGAAAAAAAATTGGAATTAATATTATGATAGGGCAGGTGTGGTGGCTCATGCCTAGTAATCCCAGCACTTTGAGAGGCAGAGGCGAGAGAACTGGATTGCCTGAGCCCAGAGGTTCGAGACCAGCTTGGGCAACTTGGTGAGATCTCATCTCTACAATAAATAGAAAAAAATTAGGTGGGCATGGTGGTGTGCACCTGTGGTTCCAGCTACTTGAAAGGCTGAGACAGAAGGATTGCCTGAGCCCAGCAGGTTGAGACTGCAGTGGCCTTGAGCGTGCCACTGCACTCCAGCCCAGGAGACAGAGTGAGACTCTGACTAAAAAAAAAGAAAAAGGCTGAACTCAGTGGCTCAGCCTGTAATCCCAGCACTTTGGGAGGCCGAGGTGAGTAGAGTGCCTGAGCCCACGGGTTCAAGACCCACCCGGGCAACTTGGTGAGACCTCGTCTCTACAATAAATAAAAAATTAGCCGGGCGTGGTAGCGGGCGCCTGTAGTTCCAGCTACTTGGAAGGCTGAGGCAGAAGGATTGTCAGAGCCCAGCAGGTCGAGGCTGCGGAGGCCAGGAGAGTGCCACTGCACTCCAGTCTGGGTGACAGAGTGAGACTCCAACTAAAAAAAAAGAAGAAAAAAAATTACGATAGGCCTTTGGCAGAAACATGGGAGCATTTGGACATTTTTAAATGAAAAATAAAGCAAAAAATGATGCAGTTATGAAGTTCATGAAATTAAAAGGCTATATGATAAAAAAAGGCATGATATCAGTATACCTTTGCTTCACTAATACATAAATAATCATAATAATGTAAGCACTGGCTAAGTTAAATTAAAACTATGTTAGGGCAATGATCAGGAAGTGAAGTGTGAAGAGTATAAAAGAACTAAGTTCTCAACTAACATGGTGGAAATTTAGTAGATAATGTCTAAAATTGATAAGAAAGCCAGGCAAGGAGGCTCATGCTTATAACCCTAGCATTTAGGGAGGCCAAGGAGAGAGGATTGCTAGAGCCCAGAAGTTCGAGACCAACCTAGCAAAAAAAAATCTATGAAAAAGTAGGTGTAGTGGCATGTGCCTGTAGTCCCAGCTACTCGGGAGTCTGGGACAGGATTGCCTGAGCCCAGGAAGTCAAGGCTGCAGTGAATCTTGTCACTGCACTCCAGCCTGGGTGACAAACCCTAACTCAAAAAAAAAAGAAAAGAAAAGAAAAAGAGGCCGGACTCTGTGGCTCAGCCTGTAGTCCCAGCACTTTGGGAGGCTGAGGCGAGTGGATTGTCTGAGTCTGCGGGTTTGAGACCAGCCAGGGCAACTTCTTGAGACTTTGTCTCTACAATAAATCAAAAAATAGCCGGGTGTGGTAGCGCACGCCTGTAGTTCTGGCTACTTGGAAGACTGAGGTGGAAGGACTGAGGAGCCCAGCAGGTTGAGGCTGTGGAGGCTGGCAGCGGCCACTGCACTCCAGTCTGGGCGATGGAGTGAGACTCCAACTCAAAAAAAAGGAAAGAAAAATAAGCAGCAGAGGAGTGATGCAGGCAAATTATTCCTGTAAAATCTTATTTGCTAACTGGGCATAGTGGCTCACACTTGTAATCCCAGCACTTTGGGAGGCAGAGAAGAGAGAATTGCCTGAGTCTAGGGGTTCAAGACCAGCCTGGGCTACTGGGTGAGACCTGGTCTCTACAGTAAATCAAAAAAATTAGCCAGATATGGTGGTGCACGCCTTGTGGTTCCAGCTACATGGATTGCTGAGGCAGAAGGATCACCTGAGCCCAGTGGCAGTGAGCATGCCACTGCACTCCAGACTGACAAAATGAGACTCCTACTCGAAATAAATAAATAAATAAATTTGCTCTTTGCAAAACATTTTGTACTTTTTTTTTTTTGAGATAGGGTCTTGCTATTGCCCAGGCTAGTCTCAAACTCCTGGGTTCAAGCAATCCCCCCATCTTATCCTCGCCAATAGCTAGGATTATGAGCATGAACCACCATGCCCCGCTCCATACATTTTTGATGGTGTGCTTTGAAAGAAAATTTTTCATTTGAATAGAGCCCAATTCATCAATTTTTTTCTTTTGTTGCTTGTGCTTTTGATATCAAATCTAAGAAATCATTTCCCAATCTAAGGTAACAAAGATTTAGTTCTGTTTCCTCCTAAGAGTTTTATAGTTTAACTCTTATGTTTAGATCTCTGACCTATTTTGAGTTAATGTTTTTATATGATTGAGGTAGGAGTCTAGTAAGTTTCCCAGGGCCGCTATAACAAAGTACCACAAACTAGGTGACTTAAAACAGTAGAAATTTATTACCTCATAATTCTGTAGGCTAGAAGTTTGATGTCAAGGCATTAGCAAGTGTGGTACCTTTTGAAGCCTCTGAGAGAGAATCTGTTCCATGCCTCTCTCCTAGCTTCTGGTGGTTGCTAATAGTCCTTGGCCTTCCTTGTCTTGTAGATATCACCACCATTTCTGCCTCTGATGCTTTATGGCATTCTCCTGTGTGTCTATGTCTTCACAAAGTCTTATTAAAAGGACAGTTATTAAATCCAATACCTCATCTTAACTACATCTTCAAATATCCTATTTCCAAATAAGGTCACATTCTGAGGTTATGGGTGGGTATGAATGTGAAGTGAAGAGGGAGACACTATTCAACACTGCAGAGTCCAACTTCATTCCTTTGCATGTGAATATCCAGTTGTCCCAACACCATTTGTGGAAAAGACTATTCTTGGGATACCCTGTTAAAGCCTGGCAAGGGTGAAAGTCTAGGCTCCCCACTCAGTCTTGCTGGTCTGGGTAGGGGTGGGGCCACGGTTTCCTCTGTAGTGTTTAGCTGGAGTACAGTAGTTATTATCTAAAAGTTCACTGTCTGGTTAGACTGCCCCTTTCCTGCTTCTTTGGCTAGTGAGAGTAGGCTTTTGTTTTTGTTTTTGTCTCACCCTTTGACATTTCTGAGTTGTCAGCTTTTTAGCTGTATTTAGTGGGAGGAATTGGGAAAGTATGTGTATTCCACTTCCCCGGTGGACTGAATTTATAAATAAATTTAGTTAGAATTATCATCTTTGTAATCAGTATTTTTCCAGTGTAGTATTCATAATATTTTTATATAATCTCTCAATAAAGTTTTAGAATTTTTCCTGTAGATGACTTGTTCTTTTGTTGTTGTTGTTGTTATTAAATTTTAAAAAAAGATTAGCAATTTTATTTAGATACAGGGTCTCACTATGTTGCCCAGGCTGGTCTTGAGCTCCTGGTCTCAAGAGATTCTCCCACCTCAGCCTCCTGAGTAGCTGGGATTATAGGTGTGAGCTACCATACCTGGTTGTACTTGATGTCTTTTGATGTTATTGTAAATGTTTTCTTTGAAACTTTTCACGTTCTCTTTGTTGTGTGTGTATAGAAATACAACTGATTTTTTATATATTGATTTTGTAGCCAGCAACAACCTTGCTAACCTCTTAAATTCTAGTAGTCTATATGTAAATTTGGGGGGGATTTTTACATATATAACTATTCTGTAAGGTTTTTTCTAACACCAA